AATTGCGTGATATAAACTCGCAATTCTGACTTTTTGTTTCTCCGAATTGCGTGATGTAAACTCGCAATTGCGAGAAAAAAAGTCAGAATTGCGAGTTTATATCACGCAATTCTGTGAAAAAAGTCAGAATTTTGAGATAAAAAGTCGCAATAACCTTTTTTTAATTTATTTATTTTTATTCAGTGGCGGAAACAGGCTTCCATAGATTTGCAATGTGATGTTTGGAAAAAACACTATTCAGCTAGTTGGTATTAAGAAATCCCAGTAGTTTCTCATAAAAGACAATTCCTCCTTTAATGCATTACATGCTGTGTAATACCCAAATAAACCATGATCATTGATCATGCACATCTTAATGTAAGGGTTTGTGTTCACATTATCAGCCAAACTTTTCCTCAATTTTCAGTGGCCAAACCATCAATGCATCGCTAGTAAATTAGTATTAGTATTTAGGTTTCATCTTTCTTTTCTTCAGGGTCCATGAATGGGTGAAAACTCTGCCACAGTGTCTGATATAATTAGTTTGTTTTGTCTTCCTTGTGATTCAGAGGGTCTTGAAAAGCATTGTAGTCTTGAAGACTTCGGCTTCATGGTGTTCCACTCTCCTTACTGTAAACTGGTGCAGAAGTCTTTGGCTCGACTAATGCTCAACGATTTCCTCTGTCATCCCAGTCCAGACACAGAGAGCGGGCCCTTCAGCGGACTGGAAGCTTTCAGGTTAATTCCTCTTTAAGAAGGGTCTCACAACAGACAGTGACATAACTGCAGCCACTTTCAATGAATAGTTATTTAAATTAGAATTTTTATTTACATTTTGAATTTAGTTTGGAATGTTTGAAGATTCTTCTCACAGCTCTTTTCTATAAACCAGCAGCTCATAGTGAGCACATCATGGTAAAAGCCAAACATTTTAATTTTCATTCTCATTTTTTGCAGAGATGTGAAGATTGAGGACACTTACTTCGACAGAGATGTGGAAAAGACCTTTATGAAGGCCAGTTCAGAAGTGTTTGAGAATAAGACAAAGGCGTCTCTCCTTATATCAAACCAGAATGGTAACATGTACACACCATCAGTGTACGGCTGCTTGGCTTCAGTTCTCGCTCAGTAAGTGTCACAGGTGCTTATTTTCATGAGTGTGTATTACAGCCTTTTTGCTTCTTAAAAAGTTGCTGTAAATGTGATGCACTAGCGTTTGTATCTCTACAGACATGCACCGCAGCAGTTGGCAGGACAGAGAATCGGTGTGTTTTCTTATGGCTCAGGCTTTGCTGCTACGCTCTACTCCATCAAAGTCACACAAGATGCTACACCTGGTACGTACACACACACACACACACTCTCTCTCTCTCTCTCTCTCTCTCTCTCTCTCTCTCTCTCACACACACACACACACACACACACACACACACACAAACAAACAGAAGCTGTTTCTATCAGAGTGTCATTACTACTAAACTAGTATGACCAAGCTCACAGTTATGGTATAAAAACTTGTCACTTGTATAAAAACAGTTATTTTATCTGGAAAGCCAACCTAAAAATTTTTTAGATATATTGTAATATTATGAAATACATTTCAGTAGTGTGAATTAAATGAAAGGAACTTCATCTTAAAGGGGTGGTTTTTTTTCTAGTTTTTTTTTTCATTGTGTTTATGGGGTGCAGTCTAACATGTTAATGCTTCGTTTTTAAAAAAACGCATTATTTTTCACATAATTTACCTTTATTCCACTCTGTCCCTTCTCTGAGAAACACGCTGATCATTTCTTGTTTTTATGAAGCCCCGCCCTCAGAAATAGGCGATGGGCTCTGATTGGTTAGCTAGCCCAGTGTGTTGTGATTGGCTAAACCGTCTCTAGTGCGCGTCTAAACGTCCCGCCCTTCACCTCAGCGGCATGTGCTCCGGTTGTATTGTAAACAATGACGTCGTCTATATTGCTTATCAGTTTGAGCCCGAT